GGATAGGCGGCCCACAGAGCCGCCCCATGCTAAAACAAACCACCTTCAACTTGTTTACCATGTATGCTTAAATGTGCATGAGTGTGGGGGAAAGGCGTCCCACAGAGCCCGATGCTTGAACAAACCACCCTCAACTTGTGCACCATATACAGTATGCCTAAATTGCCCACAGAGCAGCCCCACGCTTAAACAAGCACAGCGCCACAAGTAAATGCCAGAGGAACCTAGTTACAGAAACGTGCCAAAACTGATGCGTTTGTGATCTACCATGTGTCTTCTGCACGCAGTGCTGAAAACAAACCCTCCTGATAGCGTTTCAAAACCTTGTTGGAAACGTATCCCCACTCATGCTCTGCCATCTCTTTTTCCAGCACAGACGCTATTCTATCCTACTTGCCTCGGCGGCTGCGGTTCTTCTTTAAAACTTGTCGCTCCCATTCTCGTTTGCTTCTGAAACCATGATCGTCACGGTACTCCATGAACCAACGCACCACACCATCTTTGCATAGGCGCTGCTTCCATCCTGGCGCTTCTGGCTGCGTTTCTTGCTCTGCGGCTGGCTGCTGGGCGTCCACTGCTTGGGCCGAAGTCTCACTATTTGGAGCTGGTGTTTCTTTCGAATTCGTTGGCTGGGCCTCTGCTGATGCCAATGGTGAAACTGATTGCTGGGCATCTGCTGATGAAGCCGATTGCAAAATCTCTGGCTGGGCATCTGCTGATACCGATTGCAAAATCTCTGGCTGGGCATCTGCTGATGCCGATTGCGAAATCTCTGGCTGGGCATCAGGTGACGTCGATTGCGAAATGTCTGGATTGGCATCTGTCGATGCTGATTGAGAAATCTCTGGCTTAAGATCTACTGAGTGGTGGGCATCTGCTGCTGCCAAGTGCGAAATCTCTGACTGGACCATGATTGCTTTGGCGGCCCACGATCCTGCACTTTTGCCTCTGAAGTCTCTGCCAAAGTCTCTGAAACTTCAGGAGAAGGATCATGGTTGTGCTGCGCAGGATCTGGATCCAGCTCCTTTTTGCGCCGATATCTTGCGACACACACGCAGGCCTTCACCTCTTCTGGACTCTCCGGCTTGGACTTCGGCTTTTTTCTATGTTTTCGTTTCTGGGGCTGCTCAGTTTGGGCACCAAGCATCTCTGACTCCAACTTCACTTGGGAAGAAACACATGTGGACGCAGTGGCCTTTTCCACGCCATCTGAAGCTCGCCAATGAAAGCAATTTTCATTGTCTGTAGGAGGAGATGGGCTGACGACCTGATTAAAGCGCAATGTTCTGCGCCTTCGTAGTGCTCTCTCTGAGCTTCTATCTTCTCTTTTCCTGGAAGTACGGCGGCGCCTGTGTCGTGAACGACCTGGTTGATGGGAGGACGATGTAGTGGCAGACATGGCTCGCTAGAAAGCAAACATGTGGTAGATAACACTCGTTTGCACTGCTTTCGTTCACATAATTTTGTATTGAAAGTGGTTATTCTTAGAACAGGCAGGGGCCATTAAATTAAACCCTCCAGTACCTAACAGTGGAACATAGTGGCACAGTTTGTACCCACTTGTGGTTTCAGTGTAGTTTCGCAGTTTTGCTTGTGACACACAAACGAAGCGCAGCTGGGAATACATGTTGACAGGTGGCACGACATAAAGCAAGTCAAACAACACATGGGTTTCCAGGAAGATTATCTATCTACTGAATGTCACCATGGCAAAACAACATTTCTATACCCGCAAAAGCTGGCTTCAAGGATGTCTGTTGCATCCCCACCCAACAAATCACTGAGGCGGCCCACGAGGCTGCTCACAAAGTGCGCCTGCGAAGCTGCAGGTCAGATTCAGCTTCAAAATTACAGAACTGAAGGATGTCTCTTACATCCCTACCCCAACAAGTCACTGAGGCGGCAGGCCGCTGACAGTCAGTGCGGCCTGTGAAGCTGCAGGTCACATTGACGAAGAAGAGCTAAGCTGTCCTCATTTTGAAGGTGGTGGACCATGTCTTCGTTGCACCCAGCATGAGGTGGTGCAGCCAGGAACATTTCTGCACTTGCTGCAACCTGTAGGCTTCCACTTCTTCATTTCTTTCTGAGACGGCCATGGCCGGAGAAAAGGTTTCGACTTCGACTTTGCGTTTTTCTTCACCTTGGTCTTTGCCATCGCTTTCTGAACAGGCTTCGAAGAAGACATCACTTTCTTTGGGACGTTGCTTGCCTTGGCGCTCGCTGCTTTAGCTTTTGCTTTCGCAGTCGGGCCTTTAGCGGCTGGCCTCTTCATTGCGGCGCCTGACTTTGGAATGCCTCTCTTGTCAGTCTCACGCTTTTCCATTGCCTCATCCAAGCTCAAGAGCGCAGACTTCACACCCTTGTGCTTTTCAGGCCCTGGAACCACAGGATCGTGTTTTTCAGGCAGTGGAACCGCAGGATCGGTTTTGGACTTTACCTCCAATGGTGGTTGCAGCCGATCCTGCTCCATGGCACCAAGGTTGTCAGCTTTTGGCGCCTCTGGCATTGACACACCCGGGTTCTCAGGCTTCTCCAAGTTTTCCTGGCTTGCAGTTGAAAGCAAAGCAATAGGTTGAATAGTTTCAACCGCCGCAGGAGACGATGTTGCCGGTGGGCTTGGGGTAGACGCCCTGGAATGTCCATCCATGGGCTTAGTTGTCGTCAAATTCTCTGTCTTTGGCAAGGTTTCCGGTTCCATTGTCAAAGCAAGTGGAACTCTCGGAGCAGTAGGGCCAGTCATGGAACGCTCCTGGCCCTGTTGATGAGCCCACTGGTTCAAAGACCCCATACCTGGCATACACCCGGAAGACAGCTGCCCACAGCTCGACATCATGGCCTGAGCCATATATTGCATCAAATGAGTTGGCAGGAAGCCATGCTGCAATGACCCAGAAAAGGCTGCAGGACGCGGCGCTTCTTTGTGGGATTTTCGCAAAGGCATCGTCCTCGCCAAAAAGATAAGATTCTCCGTCTGAATCCTCAGCAGTGGCAATGAAACAGAAAACACAATGACGACATCAAAGGTCGATGCACACGTCTATGTGGGTTTAGGCTCCTGCTTACCATCAATAAGCGGTACGCGACTGAATGCATTTGCATGTCTGTAAACCGTTAAATGTACATAGATTTCCTTTGAACAGATGCCAAAAACAGACAGGAAAATGAAACATCTACATTACCATTCCAAGATTCCTCGGCGGAACTGGCTCCCCACTGTCACCGTACATTCTCCTCCGTAGATCTTCATGGAGCTCTCTGAAGTCACCTGGCAGAGAAACAAGGTAGGTGCCAATGATGCCCGGGTCTTGGCCTTTTGACATCTCTAAGATAGCCTTCACTTGGGTCTTGACCGTCGTGTGCAAGCTGAACCAGTCCTGTGTGGTTTGAAAGTTGCGCTCATTCTCAGGCATTCTCAAAACCAACATGGCCGTGAGTGTCCCATAGACCGTTTCTGAGGGACATCGCAGGCCAAGATTGAATAAGAACTGCACGACTTGCTTTAGAACCAGAGATGTGTTGGTTCCTTTCAAAATCACTTCCCAAAGGTCTGCCGTCAAGAAGCACGCCCAAGTCAACCACTCTTGCATGGGGCGTTTCCCCTTCGGATCCAAAGGAGCACCTTTCATTTTTTCATGCAGGGCATCTAAGATTGCTTTCACATCCTTCCCCTCAATCACACCCTCGGCTGACTTCACTGTAGATGCCAAAGCCGTTGCTTGCTCCAAGGACATTTTGGGAAGTGCTGAGATTTTCTCACGAAGGGATCGCACATGGGCTTCGATGAGCACTGGTTCTGCCGATGAGGCGCGCAGAAACTCGATCAATGCCTTCATTTGAGTCTCCACACCATCAGCCATGGCTCTGCGCGGACACTATAAGACGGTCCACAAAACCGCCCGCAGCCTATCGCAAAGAAAAGCCAAACCTGGCAAGACATTACAAAAGCTCAGAGTGCTGCATCTAAAGTTCTAAAGTTCAGCAAAGAAATATTCATTTGTATAAAATGTTTCGCTGATGACATATATATGTAGAACGCAGACAACGCACACCCAGTTCTGGAAAAGACCAGAACTGGCAACGCGCAAAAAATCCTATTTAGCCAGTGTCGGATTTTAATAGCCGACGCTGGAAGTAATACGCACAACACACACCCAGTTCTGGAAAAGACCAGAACTGGCAACACACACTGGAAGTTGAGCCCAACGATTCCTAAAGAAAAAGAAGATGAGCTGACGACAACTATAGGCGGCCCACAGAACGGCCCTGAAAGCCTCTACAAACCGTGCCCCAGCTATACCAAACAGCGCAAAAAAGAAAACGAACACTTGCAAACTCTTTTTCACACGCAAAAATCAACATCCTGCAAGCGGCCCACCAAGCCGCTCAAACATGGATTAACCCACTACTTCTCGGCAGGCTCCGACGTAAACAACAAAACCTCTTCACACTGGTCATACTCATTCCAAACGTGCATGGCCACAACATTATCTTTCTGCACGTGCAGCTGATCCTTCACCTGAAAATAGTAGCTCTCGTATGCAATTATCCAAGTGCTCTGCTCATGCCGTGGCGCGATAAGAAGGTCCCGAGCTTTTTGAATTGGTTGGAATGCATCATCTGTGTCAGACCACTGCAGGCCTGGAAGCACATCTTGAACAAAGTATAAGTTGAACGCCTGCCCCTGTTCAACTGGGACCACGCAGTATTTCGCGAGCTGCCGCAGAGTCAGAGTCATGGCCACACATACAAATAATCTCCTAAACAAAGAACACTACAGAGAGTCATGAACCCAGACTATTGCGAAGAGAATGAAAAACAACTCAACACCCATTCGCAAACTGAAGAAGCATGTTTCATTCTTTTTACAGAAACTCCGCACGCACTTGACAAATTGCACCAGCAACTTCTCCTTCTCATTTTGCGACTGTAAAAGCTAAGTTCCGCTAAGTTCTGCTAAGTTGTCAGGTTCGCCGGTTTGAAAAAACAGACCAAACATGTAGGAACACTTATCCAAACATACTAAGCCTGCTAACCACTGTAGGTTGACTTACAAAAACTTAAGAACTTACGTCAACATGTCGAAGTTAATATCAATTTAAAGCTATAATAAAACTAAATTTAACCAATGTTATTAACTTGCCCTATATTGGGTAAGTAGAAACGGCCCTCGTTGCCCTCGCTTTCATGGCCGACTATGACATGGTGGTGATAGATGAAGCCCTACAACTCAGTGCCGAAGAGTTCGGACGGGTGCACGCCATGTTTCTTGCCACCGGCAAGCAAGCCCTTCTGGTCATGATGGGCGACGATTGGCAGCTGCCGAGCATCCACCCGGAGAGGGCGTACAGCCACCCGCAATGGAAATTCTGTCAAAGGATCGACCTCTTCGAGGTGTGCCGTTGCAAGTGCCCACTCTTGCAGGAGAAGTTAGATTTCTTGCGGCATCACAAGCCGATGGGCGCTGAAGGCCAGAGGTTCCTCAACAAGCTCTGCTACAAGCACAAAGCTTGGACTGGACATGACGAGCCGACCAACTTGGACATCCAGGACGTGTGGAACCGAACGGAAGGCCGCACCACTTTCGTGACGTGCACCCGCCGTGGGGCCGCGATCGTCAACGATCTGACGGTGCAGGTGCTCTTCACCAATCGGAACCAGCGGTCGATCGGCCTGGTGCTAGCAGACTACACCGAGGAGCCCGAGAATTACACGGAGCAAGGTGCACTACGTGAGGATCGGGCCCCTGTCGCGCGGAAGTTGGCCCTGTACGCCGGCCTCCGCGTGCAGCTCACCAGAAACCAGGACAAAGAAAATCACTATGTCAATGGCATGCTGGCAGAGGTGGAGGCGTACCACGCTGAGTCCAAGGCTTCGCAAGTCAAGACTATCAGTGGCAAGCGCCTGGCAATCTACCCTTACACGGATGTCAACGTCCCGCTGGGGCGCTGTGTCTACTTTCCGATTCGCCTCGGCTACGCTGGCACCATCCATAAATACCAAGGTGCAGAATTGGAGCATGTCACCCTATGGCTTGACCGCAAATGGAGCCCTGCTGCCGGATATGTTGCGTTGAGCCGCGTCAGCAGGGATGAAGACTATCTCATCGGCGGTGTGGTGACAGTCAACCATTTTCTGCCGGCAAAGTGAAATCCTGGCACCTCGACTGCATCCGCGGGTTGGCCGTCGCCCTTGTTTGTTCAACGACGTTTCGGACGTTGGTAGGCGCATGCGTCGTGCGTGCACACACGGCCATGGCTAGCAGGATTACCCCTTCGACGCGTTGCTTTTTTGTAATTGTTGCCGATGGAAAATTGACCCGCCCGTCCCGGGTTTCCTTTAAAAAACCCTAAACCCTAAAAGATTATGTGTTTGGGGGGTCTTGGGGTGGGTTGAAGCGTGACGCTGCGGCGCGCCGCCCCGCGACCCTTTGGGTCGAGGCGCGCCGCTTGACAGGTGGAAACCCTAAAACCCTAAACCCTAAACTAAAGCGAGCGATGTTGTCCGCGACGCTTAGGAGCCCTGAACATCGCGAGCGCTACCCGCACGCTGAGTGCCGGACATCGAAAAGAATTGAGATGCAGGAGCCTGACAAGGTGAGCACAAAGAGTTAGCTTTGTGCTCCGTCCCGCATTTGTATCCTTACATAAAGGGTGCATGCGCAGACTGCGCTAAAATAATATAAATGTCTTATATTCTATTCCCCTAAAACCCGAGGGTTTGGACCGTAACCAGGTGGTAAGGTTTTTGGCTTCCAGGTTTGCTTGTCAAGCCCTCTGGAGCCTCCCTGGTGCTTCCCAGGCTGTCCAAATGGTCCTTTCCTGCCTCCCTGGTGCCTCCCAGGCTGTCCACTTAATCCTTTCCTGTCTCCCTGGTGCCTCCCTGGTGCCTCCCAGGCTGTCCAATAGGTCCTTTCCTGCCTCCCTGGTGCCTCGCAGGCTGTCCAATTAGTCCTATCCTGCCTCCCTGGTGCCTCCCAAGCTGTCCACTTAGTCCTTTCCTGTCCCTGGTGCCTCCCAGGCTGTCCAATAGGTCCTTTCCTGCCTGCCTGGTGCCTCCCTGGTGCCTTCAGGCTGTCCAAATGGTCCCCCTGGTGCCTCGCAGGCTGGTGCCTCCCTGGTGCCTCTCAGGCTGTCCAAATTGTCCTTTCCTGCCTCCTGGCGCCTCCCTGTCAAAAGGAATCCTGCGCTCCGAGCGGCTTTTTAAAAGCCAGTCTGTGCTACGGGCAGCCAACCGTGGAGCCCACCCCAGGATTTGCCGCGAACCGGGCCGATCGCCATTGAAATTGTATTGAAAGTTCGACGAAATCCGGCGCCCTTCCAAAACCGAAATTCGATTAGCAATCCTGTGCTACGAGTCTCTGTCCTCCCCGGTGCCTCCCGGGTGCCTCGCAGGCTGTCCAAGTGATCCTTTCCTGCCTCCCTGGTGCTTCCCAAGCTGTCCAATGAATTCTTTCCTGGTGCCTCCCTGTCAAAGGCAATCCAGTGCTCCGAGTGGCATTTTTAAAGGCCACTCTGCGCTACGGGAGTCAACCGTGGAGCCCACCCTAGGATTTGCCGCGAACCGGGCCGATCGCCATTGAAATTGTATTAAAAGTTATACAAAATCCGGCGCCCTTCCAAAACCAGGTTCGATCGGCAATCCTGTGCTACAAGCCTCCCTGGTGCATCCCCGGCTGTCTAAATGGTTCTTTCCTGCCTCCCTGGTGCCTCCCGGGCGCTTCGCAGGCTGTCTAATTGATCTTTTCCGGCCTCCCTGGTGCCTCCTAGGCTGTCCAAATGGTTCTTTCCTACCTCCCTGGTGCCTCGCAGGCTGTCCAAGTGATCCTTTCTTGAGCCTCCCGGGCTATCCAAGTGACCTCCGGGCTGTCGACGTGGCCTTTCAGTAACTCCTGGCTGCATCCCAAGCAGTCAGAATCCAGCCTTGCCTTGGCAGATTACTGGAGTCACCCGCGCTTGCCAGATTACTGGAGGCATTTGGTCTTAGGCCTGACAGAACCCAGCCCTGCCTTGGCAGATTATTGGAGTCACCCGGTTTTGCTTTAGCAGATTACTGGAATGGCTATTGCCAAAATGCACCCAACCAAATGCCTACGATCATATCCGTAATCTCTGTTTCGATTGCAAATTTCTGGATCATCTGGCCCTGGGATTTTCCCCTTGACAGTGCCCCTTGCCTAGACTTTAATCAAGCCAAATGTTTCTTTCAATTGGCTATTGCCAAACTGCACCCAACCAAAAGCCTAGGGCGACATCAGTGGTCCGTATTTCAATTGATTGCAACTAAATGGATCCCTGCTTTCATCCTATGGTCCTTGCTGTAATTGGCGACCGCCAAAATACCCGTAACCAAAAACCCACATCCAAACCCAATTTGAAAAATGAGCGCAGCTCTGCCCGCCCGGCCCAGGGTTTTCATAAAAAAACCCTAAACCCTAATAGATTACAGGTTTGGGTGGTCTTGGGGTGGGTTGTAGCGTCCAGCTACGACGCGCCACCCCGCGACCCTTTGGGTCGAGGCGCGTCGTTTCCCAATGGAAACCCTAAACCCTAAACCCTAAACCCGCCCGCCACCCCTACATCACCTATTGGGGTGAGCGGGCGCTGCCCGAGCGTGTCAACGAGGCGCTGCAAGTTTTGTTGGGCTGCAAAACTTGCCAGCCAGTCCTGAACTGGAGCCTCCCCAGCAGGTTGAGCCAGACCTGCATCTGTCACGATGCATTGACCATTGATATATATTATTGACCTAAACCCAATCTTGGGAAAGACGCCCTTAGCAAAGGTTTAGGGGGCCTAAACCCTTCAGTTGCCTCTCAAATGGCCCTAGGCAACCAAAGGTTTAGGGGGCCTAAGCCCTTCAG